GGCGCGATGCAACGCAACGCGTAAAACATTATAATCCGTATTTATGTCCCCACTGGATGCAACAAATGCCTCGTTTGTAATGGGTTTTAATGTTTTTGTCTCGTCACTCCGGCCGGGACACGGCATCACAATATGGTAAGGGACGTAACATTTCCGTCACACGCTTGAGGTATTCGGCCAATCACAACGCACTCTATAGCTGGCCAATCAGAGCACACCTCGCTTTTCAGACCGATGAGCTTTGTAAAAATCGACGTGTTTCAGAAAGGCGGGGCATAGAGGAGAAAGAATAATGTACAGTATGTGGAAAATAATTTTAAATTTTTAAAAATAAGTTTTTTTTTTACCTTAAACCGCATAAACACATTTCATGACACCAAATACACAAAATAATGTTATTTTTAGCAACATCATATGACCCCTTTAAAGTGCAGGACAGACTCATCAGTAAATAGGCTAACTGTAGTTTTGTCTTCGTTTACTTAGTTAAGCATTAAACTGCTAGCAACTAGCAGTAGCAGCCAGAGGATTAATAATACTGTAAACTAAACTAAACTAAATTACTACAGTATCATCACTCAAAATACTGTATGCTAAAGGAAATTATTATTATCTACTGTAAAGTTACAGTAGTAATTTATCAAACAAATGTTATGAAACATCGTTTTATAATACTTTTAGAGGGAGCTATAGGGCAGATAACAACACAACCCTTACAAAAATTCAAACCAAAAACCGTGGTTACTAGGCCTATAGTTAGACCATGGTAACCACAAATTAACCATGGTTTTGCTACACTAACCATAGTCTAACCATGAAATTTGTAGTAAAACTATGGTTGTAAATTAAAACAATCCGCTAAAAAAAGTGAAGTTACAACACTTTTACTGTAAACCATGGTTAATTTTCGTAAGGGAAAAATATGACTCGTGATAATGCAATAACATGTTCAGTATTGGGATTTTTCTGTAAAGATATTGTCGTGGTGTAATTATTATTGTACTAATTTTGACATTTAGGCAATTTAGATGCAGATAGATATCATGGAAAATGAAGAGACTGAAAAAGAAAATGTAAGTGAAGGGGTAATTCAAGAGAGAACCTTTAATTATTTTGTATGGCCCCAGCCTAAGGTATGAAAGCTTTTTTTAATCTGATGGCCATACAAAAAAATAGGGTTGTCCATGGTTTCAGAATTTGTTGTGGGTATATGGTGTAGTAAATCAGCTCAAAAGGGAAATATTTATGACTAATTATAACTGGTTATGATTAATAATAAATATTTAGATTAGATCTTAGAATTAACTGTAGCAGAATAAATATTACAATTATTTGATCTGTCCGTCCACCGAGCAGACAATATAATCATTTATCAATTCAAGGAAAGATTATTTTCCTGACCAAGGAAAGTAGCTTTCCTTCTTTATGTAGTGCTAGCAGTAATTTAGCATGTAGCAAGTGATCAAACATTCAGTGACTTCGAATTGTGAGCAACGCACAGAGGCATCCATGATTTTACGCAGACGCTACAATGGGATGGCCTGGATGACTGTGAGATTTCCCGGCTTGAAAATATGTCCCAGTCCTGCCCTGTTCTACACGGTGGTTGCTCAGCCTTGATACATTCATTAGCTAACAAAATTTTAAGGTTGGGACTATTTAATGTTTCAGTCACCATAAAGTGTGTGTGTGTGTGTGTGTGTGTGTTTGAGAGTGAGTGAGAAAGAGAGAAAGAGAACAAAGAATACAACACAAATTTTGTTGAGCAAAAATAATCATAATTCTCCAGCATAACCATTTGCAAAATTAATATTACCCCATGAGCATTAACAAATAAACAATTCATCCACATAAATAACCACAAAATATTGTAGTTCAGACAGGAATAAACACAATTTGGTTTTGCTAAATGTTTCTGAATACAAATGCTTTAATTTACTGGAACTATATCAAAGCCAGTTACATTTACAAATTTAAATCTGATGACAGTCAGTTTTTGTTATTAGAATGACTCACTGAAAAGTATTTTCTAAAATAAACTAAAATGTGCTCTCCCCTCCATGAGTTTAGAAGGAATATGTAAGAAATTATTTGAAAGAAATAACATCAGACAGCACATGAAAGAAAGGCTACATCCTCTCATCAGCACATCAATTAACCGGAAGCATTACTTGGAGTATATGAATAAATTTTGTTAATATAATCTCTAAATTCTTCAGTTGTCAATGTACACTCCTTTGTTATTGTGCTTGATCCTGGTTTTCCACAAAGGATACATTCATAGAAACAGCGGTAGAGAGGCACACGTTCAGCAACCTTCCCCAGTTCTGCGGGCAGATTATTTTTGTTTTGGTCCCACTGATAAATATGTTTGAAAGCAAAGGCTTTAATTCCTGTGTGTGCCTTTAATTCAGCAAGACCTGGTAAAATGCTGTCCTCATTGTTACTGAGACAATTGTCTATACAGGGAGAGTTTAAGGTGTAGAAAACCACACATCCATCCAATCCTTTTTTTTTTAACAATTGTGTCAAGTAAGAACCATTTGGAGGATTCATCAGTAGATCTTCTGAATGTTTGTTCCCCAAAACTCCTGCAGCAATCAGCTCAGTGCCTACATAGATATGCAGACTCTCTTGGAGACTTTGCCTCACATCGTTCTCTCCTTTCAGGAATGTTAACTCGTCAAAAGTGATACACTGCTCCTTTGGGACATTGATGGCTACTGCATATTGCCCTGTTTCATAACTGAAAAAATAATTGCATATTCAAAACCAACTACTAGTCAAACATGCATGCTGGAAAAGGTATGAATGAGTCATACACAGATCTGTTATTTCTTATAGATTTAATCGGAGACCTCTAAAAAGGTGCACAATCAAATGTTTCTAACCTCTATTATAGTAGTATGAGAACTTACTTCTTACGAAAAAACTCTGTAATTTTGCCAAGACTACCCATGTCTACAAGTTCAGCATCCACACTTTGAGTACAAAGAGGAAGCAGAGAGACCAGGAGAAGGGCCCTTGACAGCACAGTGAAAACCTAAAGTGATAAAAAAAAAAGCAAAATCATCAGCACAACTGTACATAATCGGTTTAATATATTAACATGACTAAACCTGTAACGGGGCTGACGAGACGTGAGACGTGCGGATCCATGTGCGAGCTTTATTAAAACAGAAGAGGTCAGAAACACAGGCAAACAATGGCAAACAGGGCAAGACAGAAGAGTAATCCAAAATGGGCGTGGTCGATAAGCGGCTAACAATATCCAGAGGGCTTGACACGAGGGGTATCCAATAACAATGCAAAGGTCCAGGCAGGGGCAAACAGTATCCGAACAGGGCAAGACGAGAGAGGTAGTCCGAAGTACACAGGCAATAATCAGAAGACGAGGAAACAGACAAGGCAAGACTAGGCTAAGGCTATCGAAGGGAAACAGGCTCCGTAGAGTACCTCTGCTGACAAATTTAAATGAACACAAAGGCTCAAAATCAGAGAAGGGCAGAGGAATCAATAAAACAAAAATAAACATCACCATCGCATTCACAGGGTGGTAGATTTTGAGAGAACAGCTGGGATGGCTTGCAGATGCAGTCTACAAGACACTCAAAATACGTATCTTTACATATTTACTTACATATTTAGAGCCTGGTGCTGCTCTGTCAGTCGATGTCAAAGACTCATCAGAGCTAATAAACTGATCATTATGATCTGGTTCAGGGCTAACTGTTACAAACAACCCTCTGTGCATTGTTGTGCAGTGCTGCACATGCCACAACTATATTGACACCTGCATACTTTATGCCTCAATATCTCAAAAAGAGCATATCAACCCCATCCTGACATCATAATGCAGTGTTCATTTGCACATGCCCACACCCACTACACACATCAGTGTTGTGGTGAAATGAGAGGAAGAGAGAGGTTCGGTACTCTGACAATGAATGTGGTATTACCATAGGCATCATTTATGGTGGGGACGAATGGTACATGTCCCCACTATTTTTTTGCAATGGACGATTTTGACCCCACCACTTTTTGAAAGCTTATGTGAAAAAGGGAAAATTGCTTGCAACAGAGATATATCTAATACAACTATTTGTACAACAAGAGTTTTCATTTCGTTTGTGTGTTATGAGTAGCGATGTTGGTGCTGTAATTTAAATGTTTAAAAGTTTTGCTGTGGTTGTCATCAGTGGAAATGTTCCCTTTAGCAGAGACGCATACTGCACTTCTCTATCAATAATCCATGGCCTGCTCTATATTCAGTGAAATCATGAAACAAAATGCGAACAAATGTATCCCCGCACCCTGCAGATGTATGTCTGACTTACAAATGCAAATTTGGTGTGTGGATAGACAGTGGCATTTTGTTCCTTAAAATGTATCTGGTGGTTTTCCTAGTGTGCACACAGATGGCGCACAATGACGGGCACATTTACCTTTTAATATCCACTTCCCTACCTGTTGTAACTTTGACTAGTAAAAATTCCAATTACAGAGCTCTCTAATTCAAGTTTTACTAATAATAATTCAGTTAACATAGCTCAACAATTGCATTTTTAAGTCAAAAAATTACATTACAAAGATCTACAGCTGAATTACAGATATCAACATATACATTATATACTGAAAACTCACCTGTTTTGCCAGGCATACAGAAAATTTCATATAGTCAAAGGAGTTAAGTTGGTGGACCATGGACATTTTAATTGAGCTGAAATATTGCTGCGGGCTGCACCTTTTACAAGTACAGTCAAGTGTTAACAGCTGCATAGTGAGTTCTTGATGGGGATTTCCCAGTTGATTTTCTTTGTTCGATTGTATTGTACTGATTGTATTGTACTGAGTATTGTAAACCCTCCACCACTGTGTACCAATGAGCACAAATGAGAAGGGTCTAGGCAGCACCATCATTTTGACACCACAAAGTGTCAGCAATTGGACACTTAATACAACTGCATATCACTAGAAACAAAATAGGACAGGATATAGGCTTCAAATGCCATCTGTGCTTATAAGAGAGACATTAACATAAAAAGACATTAACATAAAAAGACATAAGACATTAGAGACATAAAGCCTACAGTAGCCTATTGACATCTGATGAGACCTATCCAGACCGCCAGCATATGTCTTTTTAAATCTTTGCATCTAAGGAAATAATGGTCTGAATATTGAATCAATGCCTGACGTGCATATGCCTCACTATCTCTGCAGACCTCCACCATTTCTAGGAGAAGACTTACTTTGTTATAGGCAATCAAACACTTTATATTTCCCAGAGGAGAGGAACTTTCAGGTTTGATTCCAAAATGAAAAGTATGATGGAAAGAACACCATCACAAACAACATCACAGGCAAGTGCCTATGCATACCAAGCAATTGTCCATCACCAACATCATCTTTTGATGCTTCTAAGAGATTGGTTATTCGTGATTATTAGTGGTTATTAATGTTAAAAGCTACAGTGACATTAGCAGTGATTATTTTTTTTAAATGAAAATGTAATGTAGATTAACAATTGAATGTAGTAATGATACATACATACCATGATGGCTGTGACGGATTGTAGAGAAGATGCAGAGAACTGAGTGTTGAATCTGCTCTGCATTGCAATTTGAGACAAGCAAATGTGTTTCATTTATTCTCTTCTTGTGTTTGCCCTTATGCAAAAAAGAAGGATAAGCTACTAGTAATCTTCAGCACAGCAGGGATGTCTCTATCAATGTCTGTTTAATGAAATGTTTGACATTTGCAAATAATTCAGTTAACCAGATATAGTCAGAGGCGGACAAAGTACTCAACTCCATTACTTGAGTGAAAGTACAGATACTGCTGGTCAAATATTACTCCATTACAAGTAAAAGTTGTAAAGACAGATTTTTACTTAAGTCAAAGTACAAAAGTACTTGCTTTTAAAAGTACTTAAGTACCAAAAGTAAATTTCCTTTTTTATGTCAATGCACATATTTTTTATTGTTGTACGTAATACTTGCAATACCTCTGAAGCAACTTACAATACAGT